TCTCTTCTCTTCTCTTCTCTTCTCTTCTCTTCTCTTCTCTTCTCTTCTCTTCTTTCCTTTTCTTTTTTACAATCAGGCCCATATTGGATACCACTTGTAAGTGTTCTTTGCTACTTTGTGGGTTCTTCTTTTTCCCATCCTTCCCTTCTCCCTTTCACCCCCTAACACCAGATAGGAGAAAAAGAAGAGTAGAGGGGAGAGAGAGATCCCTGAATCTGATTTCCTTCCCAACTGTCTCTCCCAGTTTCCTGCCCCGCCCCTTCAAATGTTTCTCCCAACCAGTCTTCCCTCAGTTAACAGTCATTTCTCCCAGCTTTCCTCCATACTAGCATCTCCCAACTATAACAACTGTTCTAGCCTGTCTGCTCAGCTCAGCTTCTCCAGGCTCAACTGTCTCCTAACAATATCTTCTGCCCAACTGCCTTCTCACTTTACCCAGCTTCCTTTTTCAGCCTCTGCTGGCTTTTTTATATCCTCTCCTGTTCCCAGAAATCCAAGAGGTAACCAACACTGAAGATCATGGGGTCACGCAGTTCTACTGCTAAGATTAAAGGGCCACTTGACTAGCAACGCAAGTACACAAGAAAAATAACACAGCTGTGTGTAAACATGTGGGTGTTAGAATTGAACCTTGGTCCTCTGCAAGAACCAGTGGGCTTAACCTCTGAGCCGTCTCTCCAGACCTCTGTATCCCATCCTTTCTGTGTCTGTCTGTCTGTCTGTCTGTCTGTCTGTCTGTCTGTCTGTCTGTCTATCTATCTATCTATCTTTCTATTGACAGTTTCAACAGCCTTGGGTGTCCTGATGTCCTGGAACTAGCTCTGTCCTCTGTGGATCAGGCTGGCTTTGAACTCACAGAAGCCCACCCGCCTCTGCCTCCAAGTACTATGATTAAAGTCATATACCACCACCACCTGGCAAGTGGCTTTTTTAAAACAGATATATTTTCATTTTATGTGTATCTTTGTTTGGACATATGTATGTGTATCATGTGCATGCCTGATACCTGAAGAGGCCAGAAGAGGGCATTGGGTCACCTGGAACTAGAGTTAGAGGTGGTTGTGAGCCACCTTGAGGGTGCTGGGAACTAAATGCTGGTTCTGTGCAAAAGCAGCAAGTGCTGAGCCAACCATCCAGCCTTAAGTGGCTTTTTGTCACAGAAAAGCGGCTATAGAAAAGCAACTAATACCTTTGTGAACTCTTTCTATGACAAAAGACTGACACAGCACCAGCTCTTAAAACCAGGATTGGTTGTGGTGCATATCTATAATCCCAGTTTGGTAAATGGAGGCAGGAGGATCAGGGTTAGGTTGAAGGCCATCCTTGAGAGTTGAAAGCAACCTGAGCTATGCACGTGTCTAAAAAAAAATAAGATTTAAGATTTATAAAATGGGTGTTTTATATATATATGAATATGAGAAAAGCCCCTGGTTTCACCCCACTCTGCTCTCATTGCATCCTGTGAAAGGCTTCCCATGGCCATTTTATCTGAAGTAGATTCTACTCTTACTCCGTGTTTTTATTTATGACCGTTCTTAAATTTTCTTCATAGCACTCAACATCATCTGAAAATGATACATTTAGTAATGAACTGGGATTCAAAATGTGTGAGGGTAAGTACGATCCTTGACAGCCCTCTTTTCTCTGTTACAGGTGAGCCCTGTTTCTAGAGATAGCTGGTGCTGACCCTGTAACTCCAAGGACGTAATAGCTGGCTAATCTCATTCCTGGTACTGGTGAGTTGAGGGGTATCTGGGCAAGTTTGGGCAATTAGGTTTTAGGGATTCCTTTCAGCCTTTATACTTATATCTTACAATGACTATATTTTTTTTCTAGATGTTAAATTATTCCAGAGAGTAGATGAGAACCTAGATGGCCTACTGACCTGGGAGGAGGATTGAGGTCACTTTCTTGGAGTTACCATAAGAATGTTTGGAATCATTTGCCAGAAAGAAGGCTTACTTTTGCCAGTGTTGTAGAAGAGGGTATATCTCAGGACCTAGAACCTATGCCTATGTTCACATGAACTCTGTTGATGTGTTCTCACAGCCATTGGGGATTTTCTTGACTTTAGTTTCTTCTGTGACCTACCAGGCCCCAGTTAGCATCAAAAAATCTTAAGCCTTCTCTGTCCTGCAGAATCTGTTTATGAATGGTGGCAAGGATGAAGTGATCCAGTAGAGTTGTGTGAAGTGGTCATTGGGCAGCTCATATAGGAAGGGAAATCACCACATTGAAAATTTATTTTGCTAGATCTCACCTTATCTAACAACTCCATTTTATAGATGAAGAACTTGAGATTAAGAAGTGCAAATAATCTAGGAACCTATAAAGCTGGTCTTAGAATCCGGTCACTGTGGAAACCATTGTAATGTGACAGACTTTTTTATGAGATGCTTCTTAGTTTCCATGAAATTCTGCTGTTGTTTTTTGTTGTGTTTTTTTTTTTTTTAAGAACATTTAAGAGCACAGTCCTCCTCAGAAATTTTATTTGGGGAACCCAACAGTACAGGGAGGAATTGGGAGCCCTTAAGAGCAGTGATATTTCTAATGAGGGGATCAAAGAGTATAAGATAGGAAGAACTTAGGCAGGCAGTGGCCCATTTAACTGTGACTGGAAGAAGAATATGCCTAGAATGAAGGGCTCTCGGAAGAAGTTGGATTGACAGTAGTTAGGGGCCTACACAGCTGGGTTGACATTGGGAGACCTGAGTTGTTTTGTTTTTTTTTTTTTTTTCTCTCTCTCAACACGTGTCCTTGGGCACGTGTATCCTCCAGTTTGTAACAATGTTATATCTCCGTTCTTCCCTGGCCACATGTTTTAGTTTGTGTGTTTGTTTTGTTTTGTTTTTTGGTGCTGAGGTCTGAACCCATAGCATTGTACTTGCTTGACAAGCATTCTACTACCAGATTAAATCCCCAACCTCCTGCCATGTGTCTTTTGTATGTGCAACCATCCAGTGATAATGTAGAGAATCAAATGAGAATTCTAAGTCAGAAAATTTTGTGAATCAATATGTAGCATGAATGAAACAGAAAGTGAGACTTGTTTGTTACTCTTTTCCCCCCAAAGTCAAAAGGTAGAAGTTTTTTGGTTTGAGTGTTCTTTTGGAGGGGGGTTCTGCTATAAGTTTTACTCTATATCTTTCATTCCCTCTTCTGTAGGACCCACCCAGAGCAATATTGTCATAGGGGAATGGGTTCCAGGACACAGATGACAGAACCATGCAACACAGGCAGATGCAGTTTGCAGCATATATTTTTGTAGAGTTAGGCTTAAATGCACACAGGTGCTAGGCTGTAAGGCCTCTGCTGTGGTGTAGATCTTAAAGCAGATCTTTTTAAGAACCCATTTCAGCCCTAACCACCTCTGTACATTGCTCGTTTCCTGTTGTCTCAGAAGAACAGCCTGCTCCCACCCTCACAGTTATCAAAAGAATACTTGAAGTTGGAGATGTGGTCATTCCAGTGTTCCCACTGCCCTTGCTTTTTTTACCCTGACCAGTGATTTGGGCCATTTTGGTTTTCTCCTCTGTGTACTTGAAGGGCCACAGAAAAATATAATGCCCACATGGTTCTCTTGAATTTAGTGTTGCCAAGTTCCAGTTTTTCTTCCTACTCTGCAATTTCAGATTTTTACTAACATCTCTTGTCTTTTTGATCTAAAGTTCTACAAATTTTGATATTTCCATGGCTTGTGTGCCAAGCTTAGAACTTACTACCCTGTGAAAATGTTTCACTATTACTTAAAAATGTGAATGGTTCCATATAAATAAGTGTGTAATATACAGCCGTATGTATAATAGTTTATTTATCTAACAGTCTCATGTTCCCATCTGAAAAATGAAAGCAACATCCTTAAGTCCTTGCATAGTACTAATTTATTTTTATTTTTAAAGTGTTATTACAAGGTTAGCAGTCTTTGTTTGTTTGTTTGTTTGTTTGTTTTTCTTGAGGCAGGGTTTCTCTGTGTAGCTTGGTTGTCCTGGACTCACTTTAAAGACCAGGCTGGCCTCGAACTCACAGAGAACTGCCAGCCTCTAGTGCTGGAATTATAGGCATGCGCCACTGCACCTGGCCAAGTTTAGCAATCTTGCTTTTAAACTCCTGCAGATAAAATTAAAAGCAGCAAGAGGAGCTATGCTACATTAATAACAGCTAGAGGTGAGAGCTGAAAGCTGACCAAAATGGAAAGGTAAAAGAAAAATGATAATAAGTTTAAAATAATAGACTGGAGGGCACTGAGTATAAAGGTAGGTAATAGCCCTACAAACATATGTGTGCTTTGCTAAAGGGGGTAAAACTTAAGAGAATTTAGGTAAGTTCTGTGGTTTTAGTTTATTGGAAAAATTAAGTTAGTTGCCCACCAGCGATGGGACAAGCCTTTAATCCCAGCAGATCTCTGAGTTTAGGACCAACCTGGGTACAGAGTGAGTTCCAGGACAGCTAAGGCTACACAGAGAAACCCTGTCTCGAAAAACAAAAACAAACAAAGTTATTTATGGGATATACTGTATTACTAGGCACACATTGAATCTTCTGTATACATTTATTAATTTTCAGTAGTAAGTTGGGAGGTATGTGGTGATGATCTTGTTTTATAAAGGACTTAGATTTAGAGAGGGCATGTGGGCACTGATCTGAAGAGCTTAGACTGTAGTGAAATCTGTCTACAGAGACCCAAGCTTTTTCTGTCATATTTGTTGGGGTTCTAAACTACTGTCTTTCAGCTTCTTGGATCAATAGCTCCATCTTTTTACTATATTTAATTTTTTTAATTAATTTTTTTACTAATTACAGTTCATTCACTTTGTATCCCACCTGTAGCCTCCTCCCCTCCCAATCCCACCCTACCTTCTTCTTCCTCTCCTATGCCACTCCCCCAGTCCACTGATAGGGGAGGTCCTCCTCCCCTTTCATCTGACCCTAGTTTATCAGGTCTCATCAGGACTGGCTGCATTATCTTCCTCTGTGGCCTGGTAAGGCTTTTCCCCCCACTTGAGGAGGTGATCAAAGAACCAGCCCCTGAGTTCATGTCAGAGACAGCCCCTGTTCCCATTACTAGGGAACCTTCTTGGACACTGAGCTGCCATGGGCTACATCTGTGCAGGAGTTCTAGGTTATCTCCGTGCATGGTCCTTGTTTAGAGTATCAGTCTCAGAAAAGACCCCTGGCCCAGATTTTTCGGTTCTGTTGCTTTCCTTGTGGAGCTTTTGTCCCCTCTAAGTCTTTTCTTTTTTCAAGACATTTATTATGCATTTGCTTAGTATTTATTGGTGTTTTCTGTGAGCCATGCATGGTTTCAGGTTTTGAGATTTAGCAGTGAATAAAAGTAATTTAATCTTGTGGTTTACATTCTAGTGGAAGAAAGCAGAAGAATGAATAAATACAGAGAAAAATACCATAGGATAAGGGAAAAAGGAGGACTATGGTTAAAGAAGGTCTATCTGAGATAATAAGGTTGATGCCGAAGTTGAATTAAACTCCATATTTCTTGAAATAATATTCTAGGCACAAGAGTTCAGCAAGGTCAGACATCCTGAAACAGAAGCATGTTGGTTGTATTTGAAGAAACCAAAGGCAGCCTTAGCATCTAGAGAGGAAGTCAACAGTGGGTAATTAGACTGTGGAATAGTTGTCTTAAAGAGTACATAGGGATGTTTGAATGAAATAGGTACAAGAATGTCATAATCAGCTGTCTTAAAATTTGTCCTCTGACCGAGTACACCAGCTAATAGCTCTCTCTGTGTAGTATGGTATTGCAAAGAACTGGTAAGAGTTTTACCTGTTTCAGTTATTTTGTGATGTAGTATGGAGTCTTAATCCATTAACATCTGTTTGTGGGTGGCTTACTAAGCTAAGAAAATTCCTTTGTAACCCCCAGTTTATTGAGAGGTTTTATTATAACTGGTTAGATCTTGCTGCTAATGTGCTTTTCATTCTTTATTCTGTCAATAAGATATTATACTGATTTTGTGGTGATGCTAACCAACCGTGTATTCCTAGAATAAATCCCACTTTGTAGTAATCTATACTTATTTTTATGTGATAATAGATTTGATTGTAGTATTTGTAATGTCTTTGTTGTCAAAGTAATTAGTAGTGGCCTAAAAGCTTAAATGAGAAGTAGAATCATGTTTTCTTCGAAAGTCCGATAATTAATAAAGAATTAGTATTATTTCTTTAGAAGTTTGATATAATTTACCACTGAAACCATGGGGACATGGAATTTTCCTTCAAAACAAAACAAAACAAAACCCCCTCCACAAAAACCCTCCTCCCCAGTCAAGGTTTCTCTGTATAGCTTTAGCTGTCCTGGAACTCACCCTGTAGATCAGGCTGGCCTCAAACTCAGAGATCTGCCTGCCTCTGCCTCCTTAGTGCTGGGACTAAAGGTGTGCGCCACCACCACTTAGCTTCCTAAAACATTTAAAAATGACTGATTCATTTAAAAAATGTTTTAGTGTTTTTTTTCATAGTTCTGCTTAGATTTTCTATTTCCCTTTTAGTCACTTGACTTGTAATTTGTGTTTTCTAGATACTTGTTTATATATAGCTTGTCTGATTTGTTCACTTAAAATTATTTGTAGTGTTTCCTTTAATTCTTTAGATAAAATCAGTAGTGTATTTTTATTCCTTGTTTTAGTAATTTTTACACCCCTCCCCCCTTTGGTCTGTCTTGGTTTATACATTTTCTAATTTTTTTCAGAGACTAAAGTTTTGGTTTTATTAGTGT